AAGAAATAAATAAGAGATATCAACATCAACATCACCTTTATCCTAAATTAATTGAGGTCGGTGGTAGATGAACCCACATGAAAGATACAAAACAGTTGAAAAAATAAAAATAAAATAAAATAAAATAAATTAAAATAAAATAAAATAAAATATATATGTATATAGATATGATTCTAGTGAAATAAGAGATATAAAATTAATATTCTGATTCTAGTGAAATTTAACAACCAAGCAATAATTCTAATTGCATATCACATCAATGGGGATTTTGTTGAACATGTGGAGTTGAATTGAACGATGTTTTACTCAGAACTAAGAAGTTAGACCCAATAACCCCATTTTATTCCATTCTAATAATATATATATAAGGTCTCCACTGTTCCGTTATCTTTTCAAGTAATTAACGTTAAGTAGATAGATTATTCTAGTTGTGATGATATTCATTCAACTTAAACCAAGCTGCCACAATGAATGAAAAGGTAAACTAACTCTGTTCCTCGTGACCATTCAGAATCCCAAATTGATTCTTGACAATATTTTGCTCACTCTTGAAGCCTTAGCTATCTCTCATTCTCTCCCCTGTTCTTTCTATCTCTACAAAGTCTCAATCACAAAACCCAAACACAGTGAAATAGTGAATCCCAAATTGATGTGTGGGCCAGAATTTCTATTTGGGTAGCCCAGCTAATGCTCAGAGGTCACAACCCAAGGAAGAAGAACATCTGTTTCATTCATATATTATCTTAACCGGGTATTTTTTAGAGCCCAAATAATTAGCACCACTTCAAGCTCTAAATAAGCTCTCTCATAAACAAGATTCATGATCAACTTAATTACGTTAACTCTAAAATCTAACAAATACTTATTTAGGCTTTTGTTTGTTCATACTAGTACAATCAGAATGTTAACTATGACAAGATTGTTATATTATTACAATCTAGTGCAAAAATAATCAAAGTAGTAATATTACCCCGTTATTTAAGGCTTAGTAGGGATGCCAACTCATTCTAACAGAAATTTTATGCAATGAATTTATGAATTTCAAAGATATAGTTAATGCTTATTATTGAGTCGTCTATCTTGGGTAAGCAAAACAAGAAAAATTCTATTACAATAAATAATATTAATATTCAGACCTGATATTATATATACAATCCATTTGTCTTTGTCCTTGAATGTATCATATACAACATGCAGAGAAACACAAATGGAATATTTTCAAAACATGAATCAAAAGCAAAGAAAGAAAAAATACTCGTAATAAAGTCACCGAACAGCAAAGGCTCCTTTGAAGCAAAAACCCCAATTCTACAAAGCAAAGAAGAAATATATTAAGCGATTCACAAAATAAAAAAACAAAGATAAGGAAAAGCAGGGCAAGATGGAAAACTAAAGCGTGAAGATGGCAAGTTACCTGCTAGATTTCCACAATCCAAGTGAAAGCAGAGAAAATAAAGATTCACGGCAGCGAGAGATGTTTAATGCGATGACGAGAGTGTAGAAGAGAAGAGGGTTGAGCCAGTAGAGAAGGGAGAAATTGGAAATTGAAGTTAGAGTTCAAAATTAGCTACGACAGGTTCACGAGATGCTCCCTCTCTCACGACGTCGCTTGGAGTAAATAAAAATGGTGTAAAACCAAAACAAATGGATATCCAATTATTATTTTTTGGATCGGTAATGAAATGGATCTAGAAAATAAAGAGTGGTTTGACATAAAATCAGTTTTTTAAAAAACTGGTTTTTTAAATGTGGTTCGATTTGGTTATGGACCGGTTTGGATCTTTTGAATATTTTGAACACCCCTAAAGGTCCGAGCCACGAGTTGGGACTCCACAAGTTCCCATAAAGGTACGAAAGGGCCAATGCGAAATTACTGCCCCCGCAGATACTATACGCTACGACATTACAAGTCGGGCCCAAATAACAAACAAAGTAAAGGACAAAAGGTAATGCACCGAGCCCAAATCTCTAAAGCACCCATGAAATCAGTACAAAATAGAGCCTGGGAAGGACAAGTCAGGTTCACAAAATATAAAGCCATGGTATTCGAGGTCGGGTTAAGCAACCTCACCGAAGATGGAGTTTAAAGACCACCTCGCAGCGTCAAGGCCTCGAAGCCAAGCCAAATCAATATTTAAAAAAAGGCCCAAAAATCGCCTTCAAAGATTTAAGGCCTCGACAACACAAGCCGGGCTAATGTAACGAACAAAAAAGGGACCCAAACCCACCTCTGAAAATCTAAGACCTTGGCAACACAAGCCGAGCTAAAGCAACTTGAACAAAAAGAATGACAAGATGCATCATAAGAGCATAATAAAAGTTAAAATTCGCAAAAGGATAGGCATGCAAGGCTGCCCAAGAACACCCAATAAACGTCAGCTAGGGAAGAACCTAAACTTGGCCGAGGTGCAAGAAAAATAATATAACCCGACTATACAACTAGATGGGATCCTCATAATGAATGGACCCATGTGTGGCCAAGGTGCAAGAAAAATATTACAGCTTGACAACCTGAACACTCAGATTGACGGACTTGGGGGTAATTGTTCTGAACCCATTTCATGGGCTCATATCTCAACAACATAACAACAAGTGATAGACTAAAGAGATAAGGATAATCTCATTGGATAAAGGATAAACTACTTATCTTATCCCACAATAGTCACACTCCTATGAGAAATTTACACCTATAGGTAATTCTTTCTATCAATGAAGGGTTAAACCTCTCAGGTACACACTTTGAATTCCCTGCTCTCTTGCCTATCATTGTGGACACCCCCACACCTTCAGATATATGCTAATATTATTATTGTGCACAGTGATCCATTACCCCTTGCAGTGTCTCTTTCATAAACTCTCGCAGGTGTATCGATCCAAGATACAAATACCAACCATCGGTTGGACATGTTTGATCCTCCAAGATTAAACAATTGGGGATTGGTGCCACTGACTCAGTTAATAGGACTTACATCCTTCTATCACATGGAAAAAGATGTTTGGGCCCAATAGCAAGACTTTAGGTGTGACAATGAAAAATAATTTTCAAATATAACATTTTGGTATTTGTTTTTACTAAAAGATGGCATTTTAATTGTTGTGCGGGAGAATAAGGCATGGTGAAATCAATTATAAGGTAGCTCGCAATGACAAAATAGTAAGATCAAGACATTGAATGCCACTATGCCAAGTGCCAACATGATTTTGTCACTTTTCTCTCGTCCCCCCCCCCCCCCCCCCCGATCCTTTTAGATGCAGCAAACGAAAACATATTCCCACCTTGAAATGTAGTGGACTTAAATCCCGTTTGGATAAGCTTTTGAAAAAAAAACTTTTTATGAGTTGCTTTTTTTAAAAGTCAAAGTTATTTTATGTTTGAATGCAATATTTGAAAAGTGTTTTTAACTAAAAATGTTATTTAGATGTTAAAATGAAAAAGCACTTTTATGTGTAAAATTACTTAAAAGTACAATGTAAATGTGCAAAAAGTCTTGTGCCTCGTTGGTTTACATCCATACCTCTACTGGCTTTCATATTTCCCATCAGTATAATTTGGATCCTATACAAACAGTTGAAGTTCGTATACCTGTAAAAAAAATGCTCAGGTACTTAGGCTCTATTGACGTTGATTTAGGGCAAGTAACAAAAGGAACTGAAAGAGAAGTAATACCTGCTCTATAAAATTTTCTTCGTATTTTAGCGTGACCATCCTCATATATTCTTTGTCGCAAGGTCTAGTAAGAATCTCCATCGGAGATCTATAGTGTTTGTTGGTGATGACATGATTTCGTTTAGGTATTGTTTGGTTTGGGAGAAAAAAAAATTTATTAGGGAAATGTAATTGATAAGAAAATGATTGGAAAGTGAGTTTGATAGGAAAATGTAAAAAAAGTTGTTTGGTTGACTCAAATATTACCAGGAAAATTTATTTAAATATGCAAAATCTATGTTCGGGAGGAACTTTGCACCTGTTTTTTCACTTCCTCAGTCATCTCAAAATACCACATCTCAAGTGTATTTTGTAACAGTGAATTTCATCTAAAAATCAACACAAAAGTCATTTTCCCATCTATTCTATTTGCCTGGTATTTCTTGAAAAAACCTGAACCAAACGTGGTATTTTTCAATATCCATCTACACTTTTCCATCAATCCCAAAATAAACCTTCAACCAAACACTAGTTTTGAGAATTTGCAAAGAAAAAACACAATTTCATCGAAAACCCAGTTAAAAAAGAGATTTTTATTTTTTTAATTTTTTGTTTATTCTTTTTTAACTTTGTATTGTCTGGAAAACAAGTGAATGGTGTGTGTTTCGACTGGGGATCTTTGATACGGTGTATGCAGAGGCGAGAGGCATCGAACGAAAAAGGCAGAGGGGGGGATTGCTTCTAGCTTCTCCTTTTTTTCAAAAGTTAAAAATTTTAACTTTTGAAAAGAAGTTAAAATTTGACTTTGTTATTGACTTTTACTTTTTTTAAGAGTTATCATCCAAACACTTAAAAAATATCTAAAAGTAGCTTTTGAAAATGGAGAAGCCAATCCAAACATGCTCTTGGTTCGAAATTTCACCAAAAATTGCGCAATAAAAAGTCAAATATTTGAAACCCTAACATCGAAATGGGAATTTCTGAATTGAGTTTTATTTTATTTATTTTTTTACAAAATTATTATTGAAATCTCATTCCCATGAATATTTATCCAAACATTTAATTTTACAAATGAAGATTGCATCCATCTAATTCCGTTGCATTTTAAATTCTATGTAACTTTGAAAAGATTTATCCAAACACAACCCAACAGTATATTAAAAAAAAAAAAGTTTCACAAACATATGAAATCTCATTCTCAACATGTTTTTGACAAACGGAATACTGAGATTTAAGAAAAGTCAGTCACAAACAAACAAATATAGATATCTTGTTATCCCAATTACTATTATTGCATTCCTTTTCACTAAATGAAACATGTAAAAAATACCATGCGAGCCATGTTAGTGTCTGGGAAGTTGTTAGGTACCTTTTTTTTTTTAAGGATATCAATATTCAATAAACTTGATCTATCAAATATTTATTATTTATTTCTTTTTTCACAGTAAATTTTCAAGTCTATATACCCAATCACTAATAAATATTTGACAATTAAAAAGAGAGTTTAGTGTGTGTCATTCAAAAGGACACAAGTTGTGTCCTTTTAGTGATTTACACAGAGTACGACCGGTCGTACTCTGTGTAATTCTGAAAAGTTACTTTTTTTCACTTTACACGTCAGCGATGAGGAGAGAGAAAAAAAAAAACTTTTCAGTTTTACACAAAGTACGACCGGTCGTACTTTGTGTAAAACACTTAAAATTACACAAACTTGTGTCATTCAAAAGGATACTTCTTTTTCCTTAAAAGAATGTTAGTATCCAAGAAAAAATAATCATAGATACCAAAAGCATATGTATAGACAGATTTTTCTCTTCCTGCATGGTAGGAATTCAGGGCGCAGAAATAAAACGGCAAACAATGATTCCATCAATAATTTACAAAGCAAAGTAATTAAGAATGTTGTAGAGTTTTAATCATGCAAAAAGTATCCCTAACGAGATATCTTTTGGAACATGAGCAAACCACCAACAACCAATTTCTTCCAATCCTAATCTTGAAGACTGAACAAAACCTGGCAATGAATCCGTCATTTACTATCTTTTGAACTCATGTTTATTCGTCCTCAACCTCTTCTGTCTCAAACCACCAAGAATCAGGGCCCAGACCATCATGATCTAATGATCCCTATAAAATAGACATCATGATACGTCACTCTTCCGTTGATGTGCAACGCTAGCACCAACCATTTTATTTTAATAATGCCTATTTATTAAGATTTTAACCTTATCTTCCTCACAAAACTTTTGGTATATGCCAATAAGTTCAAACATTGTTTGCTTTAATTGAATCCGGTGTCAGTTTTTTTCTGTTGCAATTGATGAGATTTTAATCCATAATCAAGAGATATGTGATGCATAATAATAAGGACTAGTATGAAAAATATAGCAGACAAAAATAGAGTAGGAAAGGGGGAGTGAAGGATAGAAACACGGGAATAATTCAAAAAGCCCAAATATCTCATGTCGTTTAAAGCATTCACAAAAATGCATGAACCAAGTAATGAAGAAAACAGAGGCAAAGAATGGTGAACAAAATACTTACAGTAACCAACATGGGGGCAAATGGCTTTGATTCTTTTGGTTGCTCAACCGGAATCGGTGGGTAAGTCACACTTTGAACTCGGAATTTGATCTGCAACATTGGTAACCAAAATTTAGCATATTTTTTTTCCAAGCATATAGTTAACATAAAAGGCAGAGGAGGCTAACCACATCAGTATCATGAATAGGATATGATGATTGTTCAAAATCCCAAAACCATATGCCTTTCTTGCTGTAATTTTCAAAAGAGCATATAAGCTTGATATTGAACATACATAATGACAGGATTCATTATTTATGAAAAAATAAAAGATTATATGCAGATATACTTTTGTATTAAGTTCAAAGGTCATCCCAAAAGTAAATTTAAATAAAGGCATCACCTATTTGTTGGTTCAGCCACAAAGTGGTTTGGGTTGGGCAGGTGATGTGCAGGAACATAAATGTCGTCAAAGAATCCAAGGGATACTGCCAACCACAGATTCAGCATTACTAAGCAGGGACTATCTTGAAACACATCAACATTTGACAATCAGTTAATTTTTCAGAGGATGCTAACATTGGATGGTGGCGTTATATTAAGCAAATAATAGGTTACTGTCAGTGTCACAATTGGATACAAAAACACAGAAATTAGCTTATAAAAATTAAATATGCAGGGTCACATTACTCTTGTCTTGCATTATTCCTGTCTTTTGAGCTTCAATTATATTAACATTGATGCTTATTAATCACAAATTTTATTTTGCTAGAGTAGCAAAATTCTGAAGTCACATCTCACCAGAAAATACACAATGAAAAATGGATACCTAACAGAGTCACAGCATCAAAGCAAACTTCATATTCTGTGCTAACAAGATGAGTTAAATTAATATTGACAAGTATCAGGAACTTATCAACAAGAGCAGTCCAAAAACAACTTTCAAGCAACTATCTCATACTATAAAAATAATCTTAAACAACTCCGTTCCCCCTGAACTATTTTCAGACCAAACAACATCATAAAGAAGCATTATGCTGCATGTAACCGATATATGAAACAGAAGTATGCTCATAAATATGATTCTTATCCAGCAATAGCATAAAACAGAACTATGTGGAATGACGTTATGTATGTCAAGAGAAAATTATAATCAAGGAAGCAGCTAAAAATCAAAGACATACAGCGTAAGCCATCAGCATCAGATGAAAGAAGTTTTGCATTAATAATCTCCCCCACAAATGGACGAAACATAATCAAATTGAACACCACCTGCCAGAAATATCAGAACAAATTTATTGCACAGACACAAACAATCACATACACCATCACATCTGCCATCAAACTACAAAACATTGATTTAAAATATAAACAAGGGAGCTAAGAAAGCAGAAAACTCTTGCAGGTTCTAAAGATACAGAAAAAAACTCATCATAACACAATAGCATATCAACATTTTTGTGCCCAGAAATCAAAATTCAAAGATTTGAGTTTTGAGTGGGTGATTTTTTTCCTGAGTTAAAATAAAGCTAAACTATTCGGTACAAAAGAGCAGCAAAAATAATTTATTAAACCTAAAAGCCTGCATTCAACTTCATACTCCCATCATGTAGAAATTTAAGTTCAATGGTATGATGAAAAGTTCAAAACCAACCCCTGACATCATACCGTATAGGTTGGAGCACCGTCACCAGGGAAGATAAACCCACCCTCAATGGATCTGATATCACGGACAGATATGCAAAGGCCCAAGTTTGCAATAACCTAACATGATTACAGAAAACTAAAATGAAACCAGGTAAATTAAGTAAAATAAATTACACAAATATGGGTCACCGAGACACAAACGAAACTGAAAATGGTAACAACAGAAAACCTTATCCAAGAAAAGCTTCTCAAGCTCCATGTGCATAGCTTCTCGAATGGGAAGGGTAAGAAGAGGAGGAGGCAAGGGTAACTTGTGCTCGATTCTACTGAGATAGAACATTGAGACTGAACCAAATTACAGAGTGCCAAGCTCCAGCTTAAATACAACCAAAAAAGATCGTCTTTGTTGCCTTGGTCAACAGAGCCTCAATGCCAACGAGAGATACAAGTTATTCAGATTCTGATTCCTCAGCAATGTACGGTAAAAATTAGTTGCTTTTATACTGCACAAAAAGTGGCTTTAGCAAGTTAAAAGGGGGAGAAAAAAAGGAGCATATGAACCAGAAACTCCATATTATGATCAAGGCTTCAAAGAAAATCCAAATTTTCAAATTATAGTCCAAATACTTCATTGTCAAAACAGTATGTGATTCAACACTATTGATTGTTGATTGAATCCTCCTACATCAGGATCTTGTAAGCAATGGAGTTTCCTAAAGTACATCCATAGTAGTCAATAGCGGCGCTATTGCGCCGCAAGCCGCGCCAGTTGCGCTTCGCGGAGATTCGCCGCAATCATTCTCGCCGCACCGCACCAAATCGCAATAGCGGTTGTTGCGGCCGCAACAGTGCCTTTTTATGGTTTTAACCCTAAGCCACTCTCCCTTTCTGCCTCTCTGTTGTGTATCCCAAAAAAAGAATGATTCTTACTAAAAACTATTTCTGTATCCCAAAAAAAAAGAATGATTCTTATCCGCAACAGAGGGTAAAACTATTTCTGTATCCCAAAAAAAAAAAAGAATGCATCATTAAAAGGTAACTAAGGTAAAACAGTAAAGTATTATTTGTATTTTTTTAGGTGTTATTATTTTTTTAATAATTTATTATGTTACACACACACATGTATATATAATTTTTTTTTTAATATATATATTTTTTTCGCTATTTCCGCAACCGCAACCCGCAATAACGCTATAGCGGTTTTGAGGGTTGGCCGCATCAGGCCGCAATCCGCATTTGATAACTATGAGTACATCATACTAATAATTATATTAAAAAAGTTATTATAAAATCTGGATACTAAAAAATAATTGTAAACCAGACTACCAGAAATATCATGGTAAATCGCTGAAGCATATTGATGCAAATGTGAAACCTAATTAAATGCACAAATATTGTTAGAGAATATTATTATAAACCATTAAAAAGGACCCTCACCCAATAGCTTAAGCTTTTGGGTTGAATTGGTTCTTTACATGGTATCAGAGCCTCATGTCCCGGGTTTGATCCTCACTGCCCCACACTTTCTTTCTAGTGGAATTTCTTTTTTAGCACTGGTAGGTGAGCCTCTGCATTGTCCACACTTCAAGCCCAATAGGCTCTATTGTGAGAGGGCGTATTAGAGAATATTATAAATCATTAAAAAGGGCCCTCACCCAATAGCTTAAGCTTTTGGGTTGAATTGATTCTTTACAAATACAATGGAGAAAATACACGAGACAGGATTAATCCAGTTAACAAATACACCGTTACAATTTAAGCAATTAGTCAAGATACAAAACATGTATATATGACTTGATGAGAATGTTTTCCATGAAGTTAGCAACTTTCTGTCCATTTTCAAACAACAGTAGTTTCTTTTTGCCCATAATTTATTTGGTTTGTTAAGGGAGCAAAGCTTCCATATGCCATGCTTCAAGCAAAACAAATCAGAAGTAGACAAATTATATATACCCCCAATAATCTTCAATTTAAGGTCTACAAGCTGTGACTTGTTCTGGTAATCAATCACTAAACTCCATTGTACTAATTTTAATGCTGACTCTGGTTTACCAACCAATAGTTGATCACGAGGGTTCCAACAAGATTAGACAGTTTTAATGAACTATTACATTCTTCCATTACCCTTATAAAGTTGCCTAACCTTTTACCGCCCAGATTTGGATAACTAAATTGTTAAATCACGTTAACAATAATGAGAGCATGTTACATCATCTGATTTCGAAGCCAAAGTCCCACGCTTGAAAAACACATGAGATGACCTAGTCACATCTTGATATATCAAAATTTCACAAAAATAAATTCTGAACAAGGATTGAATAGAACCAAGAAAAAATTAGAACCAAACCCAATAATCAAAAGCGGGGAGAATCAACATCTGATTTTTTTTTTATCATTCCATTTAGAAGTGATCGCGGGTCAGGTTGGGTTATGGGGAAATTAAGGTCCAAACTGATTAAATAATTATGTATTCAGTGAATGGTGGTCAAACTCGCGAGTAAACTCGTACGAAGTTTACGCTTCTAAACACCCTCAACGATTCCGATTCACCATAAACTCGTTTTTGGCATTGACTTGTTAGAGACGCCGTGTTTTTTTGGCAAACTCGTAAGCTCGTACGAGTAAAACGATTCCACCGAAAACGTTCTGACCCATGGACCCAGATTTTTTGACCCGAAGTCCGTCAAATAAACGGGATTTTTCAATGCAAAAAACCCTAAATACCTGGAGGAAGCCGCCACCGCTCCTGCTCAGTGAGAGACGACTCCACCATCGGGCTTGGCTGCGCTCCACCGTCTTCTCCGACTCCGGTCTGTGTGTGGGCGTGCGTTCTCCACGTGCTCTGTCCGCAGCTTCGTCTTCGTTCTCCGTTCCCAGGATTCACCGTTGTGCCTTCGCCGTCGCAGGGTGGTGTTCTTTCTCAATCTCTTATGAGCTGCGTCACTGCATCTGTTTACCAAAGCAGGCAGGCTTTGTTGATATTTTTTTTGTTTTCTCTCGTTTTACTTTCAGCTTCTGTCTCTGTTATTTATTACTTAACAGAAAAAAAATTATTTGATAAACAAAATTAGTTTTTCTTTTCTTGTTTTTGCCTCTGTTTCCTTTTCTCTTTTTTTGTATATCCTTTTCAATTTACTTGAAAAATGAAATTAGTCCACATTGAAAAATCAAATTAGTCAAGCTTTTTCAATATTGCTTGCTGCTGGACCAATTAAATTGTGGTTAATTTTTTATTTTTTTGGTGAATTTGAATGTTGTATTTTTTTTTAAAAATGTCTTCAAGTGGTATTAAAAATACTCTTTTTCTTGATTATGATTATTGTATGACATTATTATGCTCGTCGGTTGAATTAAATTTGCTTATTATATTACTTTATATGCATATAAATATAATATATATCTCGTGTTACGATTTTACGATCTGTGTTACGATTCTGCAATTTATGATTTTGGTTCACCCTTTCGAGTTTGCCTAGATTCTCAAATTTGACAGCCTTCAGTTTAAGTTTTGGAAAACAATTTGTTAAACCAAAATCAAACTTGGGTCAATTTGGTTCTGTTCATCAAGTTTTACATATTTTTTCAAAACAACATTATAAAAAGAACCAAAATAAATTTTTTTTTTATGATGAACTACTCAACTACATGTCAAATTGTTAATAGCTTCAAATCAAGGGCTTACCATGAGCCAAAACCATGAGAAGCCCAACGCAAAAGAATAAGAGCCAAAACTGTGAAGCGTAAGCGAAGAGCAACTAGCGAATCGCGAATGGGCTGGGCGTAGAAGTATTTGGCAGCGATGGCATGGAAGGGCTTTGTTGACAGTTCACAAAAGGGCAAAAGAGATTACTGGATTAGCGGAAGGAGATTTAAGTTGAAAACTTCAAATTTCAATTAATTCAAAGTAAAGATAGGAAAGTGCGATCGACCTCTCCAATAATCCGCCAAAAATGAAATCCATTTCTTCAAAATGGGTGGAAAACATCAATCTGCTTTTTTTTATAAATTTACAATCTTTATAAAAAAATTATTTTTATTTCTTCCCTCTCTCTCCTTTTCTGTTCACTTTCCTTTTTGTCTTATACCACTTCTTCAAAATGGGTGGAAAAGATCAATCTGCTTCTTTTATAAGATTTGCAATCTTTATAAAAAATTTATTTTTATTTCTTCCCTATATATATATATATATATATATATATATATATATATATATATATATATATATATATTACTTTTATTTTCACCTAAGATATTTTATTTAGACAACATTGGTTACCCTATACTCATTTAATTAATCCATTCATCCTCTTCATTATACCAATTAATACACTAATTAAATGGAGCTATTATACTCAAGCTGTTTATGTACTTGCAGACGATTTGACCGATCCTGCCCCTGCCACGACGTTTGCACATTTAGATGCTACTACTGTATTATCAAGAGGATTAGCTGCCAAAGGTATCTATCCAGCAGTAGATCCTTTAGATTCAACGTCAACTATGCTGCAACCTCGTATTGTTGGTGAAGAACATTATGAAACTGCGCAAAAGGTTAAACAAACTCCCCTCCGTATAAAATTTTGTCCTCAAAATTTGGTACTTACCTCACACAAATAGAGAAAAGCACCCTAATGTTGTAAGATACTAAGATCAACTTAGGAGCACTAAATACAAGGCTAATGTAACACCCCGTATATATCCGGTAATGTTATCACAATATTGTATTAAGCTGCGCTTAATTAAAATGCGGAATTACTTTTTCTTTTCAATTATGATGCCATTAACATTACCAACTTGCTTAATAATCAATTAATAAAACATCGCATGTATGTAATTGCAATAAAACAGCTAACTGAAATACCTCATAACATAGATAATATAATTGTGGCTCTAGTCACGGAACTACAACAATATAGACCGGACCATCTAACAGTTTATACAACTCCAATCTAAAATACTAGCATAAAGTGTCATGGACAAACCCCATGCTCACTCAAATAAGGCAACATGCCAAACATCAGTCTCAACAACATCATATCATAAATAGCGGAAAACATAAACAGCATCCAAATCCAGTCATGCTAACAAATAAGCATAAACAACAAAATCAGCTAAGCTCCGGCCTCCCGCCGCCTGAGGCATCAATACCCATACTACCTGATCCTGAAATAAGCATTCCTCGAACGTGGGGTAAGATCTCTAATCTAGAAATCTCAGTAAGTCAGTGAGTCCTCAAGGATCTTCCACCCCAAGCTCACTTACATGTGCACTATAAGTTCAAAAATAGTTTATCATTTATCATTTCTAAAACAATGCAATGCAGCAGATAATCATGTCATGTGTGTCAATACTAATCTACTGGCCAGAGACAATGCAGGTATACGTCTATCACCTACACACCGTGCAAGTACCATTTGCATTCACCCCGGTACACCATCTTGTATGGCGCTACATACTCAGGCTTCCCGTCAAGATGAAACAACACATGCATATTAAAAGCCATTACATGTAAAGTTCAATCAACATATCAAATATCCAAAAGCATGTACACAGCATGCATAAACCATACCCCCATGGGACATGGTGGAACCACAACATGGCTAAACCGAGGACACGAAAGCTTACCTTGCAAGCTAACTCCAAAAGCCAAGAGTCCACAGCTCAAAGTCCAAACACAGCAGATTCACAATCTGTTATGGACCAATACTATATCAATAATAATGCAACACAAGCATATAACTTAAAGACAACGCCTTTCCTTACGTTTTACGTCTTAAGGCTCCATACCAAGCCATAAGTCCTTAATCACTTAATTCTGACTTAGTTCATTAATTACAGAAGTTCAACTTCATCAATCTAGGGTCCACAAACCCCCAATAGCCTACTGTACACACAGCACAGCTACTGTTCTACGAAATCCCAGAATATCCGGATATTCCTCGGGACCATATCCAGATATGCAATATCCGGATATCTCACTGGACGTATCCGGATATGCAATATCCGGATATCCAGAATCCCAGATCCGGATATCTAGTATCCGGATACTCAAAACCCATATCCGGATATCACATATCCGGATATTCATCGGGCACATATCCGGATATTTCACGACAGAATGCAGAAAATGCATTTCGTGAAGATATCCTTCCAAGGTTGAGTTTTTAACGATTTAAAGCACCTAAACATGCATTTCTAGGTGTGTTCAACATTACCCCACAACAAGTTATCATCTTTAAGCCTTAACATGCATCAAGCTTTCATTTTTAAGCATTAAACTCAAGATCAAAGGTGACAAGGCTTACCAAAGCTCAAACTCAGAAAAAGGGTGCTCTTGGAGCTCACAGCTCCAAGGTTTTGTCTCTCTCTGCACACGAAAATGTAAGTTGAAGGTTGGTCCTTTCTCCACAAAGAACACACCTTGAAGCTTAACAAGCCAACTCCAAGGTTCCCACCACTCAACTCTCCAACTCAGCCCTCAAAGCTGACTCCCAACAGCCTCCCAACTCAGAACACCAGCTTTCTACACACTCACAAGGCCACTCACACAAGGCTCAAGTGTTTGGAGGTGAAGAAATCAAGAAAGGAAGTGTCTTGGACACAAAATGGAGAAGAAACCCCAAGGAGCAGCCAAGCTGATCAGCCACCCTCACACACTCACATAGAGAAGGTAATATGACCTAGGGTTTAGTGCCCACAAAGGCTTAAATAGCCCACTTAAAGATTAACACACAGTATTAACTTTAATTGCTACGCTTAGCATTTTAATCCCAAACTTTGGATTATGAAACTACATAATTTTATAAGATTTATCATATTTTTCTTATAATTTTCTGAGCACTTTTCCGGTACGTGCTTTTACCAGCCAGTACCGGTTTCCAGCACCAGTTCTCATTATCTGGACTTGAAACTCGTTTTACAAGTCCTACATATTATTCTAGTAATTATCATGCACTTACATTAATTTTCCGGGATACTTTTTCGGCAAGCATTTATACCGACTAGCAGAACCGGTATCTGCACTTTTCTTCCGAAAATCGACTTTCCGCATTCTTAATCACTTATTACGATTATTAGGCCTCATAAATAATTATTAGGGTCAATTATGGAATCATTTCCTATTTTCTCGTAATTTATTAATTAAATACCTTAATTAACGGTGCAGGTTCTTACAGCTAACAATAACTAAACCCCAAGATTCTACCACACCATCAAGCAACCAGAACATGATCAAAATAACATACCCCACAGTACTTTTACAGATCCACCTCGCAAACAATAGCCTAAAGTTGCAAGCATACTGGAAATGGTATTCTATCAACAATAAGTACGCAACCAACATAAAAGAGGGTAGGGCTAGCTTGTTAGGTAAATAGATTAGCATAGAAGAGTGGGGAAACTCAGTAACTTTAAATATATTACAGAAATCAAACATAGTGGCAAAGATTCTTGATCAGTAACAAAGGCTAAGATGATTGCTAAGAATAAACAACTTGTAATTTCTTCGCATTGATAAAATCATAACCTAGCTTAGTGATGCATAAAACTAGATTAGCAACTGGAGTTATAGTGTTCTATACTCCAGTTCCAACTTCCAATCGACATCCAGAGTAAAAAAAATGGCAAGTGCTATTTTTTTTTTCCGCATAAATTCCTTTTTCAATAACAAAACTTCCAATTAAAGTACTTTACTGCAACAACCTCTCTTAATGAACTTGAAATTGAAATTTATCCACCCTAATGAGATCAATTAATAAAAATAAATTTAAGACAACAAAGAAAACAAAAGTTTAAGAAAATGAGATTCATAACTCGGTTGTATGCACAGAAGCTTAGATGCAACTACAAGAAGAGGATTGCTAGTCAATTAGAACACATAACAGAAATCAATCAAATGTGTTGAACTGATGTGGAGATTTGGATCCATTGATCATTACATGAGTAAAAAGCTTAGATGTCAGAATTGAAATTGCTTAAGTATGCAGTT